AATTCTAAACAAAATACCATTAGTTATAAGTATACTTGTATACATAGCACATGTATACATTATACTATTTCATTTACAGAACTAAAATTAGTTTGTTGTGTAAAGAGAATCTTTGAGCTTGACTCAATGGTTAGGCCTCATGAATACATCTTCATGGATGAAGCTGCATTCAGTCTAGCAAAAAGCAGAAGAAGAGGTGTTTTCAATTTTGAGTGGTAGTGTGTTAATGATGAAAACAGTGTGTTAGTTGTGTTTAACTTCTGTAGCCTGTGTGCACCATTCTGGGTACAAGTGTTAGGCTGCCAGGGTCGTCGACCCAGTGTTTTGTGTTTTTGGTTCTTTTTGTTTATTTCATTATATTCTAGCGTTGCCTTATAGGTCATAGGATTATTCTTAGCTTAGGTTCTTTGTGTGGGTTTTGTTAGAGTTTTAGTGTTCTGGTTTTCTGTCTGTGATCCATAGTTGCTGTCTCCCCTGTCTGCTGTATCCCTGTGTCAAGTCTGCGTCTCTGTGTTATGTTTCCTGTTTTACTTTGAAGGTCCATGTCTTATGTTAATGTGTCTGGTTTTGCTTCCCCTGTCTTGTCAGGCCTGATTTGCCCCAGCTGTGTTTCCGTCCTGTTTCCCATCCCCTGATTGCTCCTCTGTGTATTTAAGCCCTGTGTTTCTCTGTGTCCGTGTTGCGATCTACCATCATGTATGCGGTGTGTCCTGGCTGCCTGTGTAAGTTATTTGAATTCTTAGGCTATGTTCACACTGCAGGTGAAAGCGCATCAAATCTGACTTTTTTGTCTGCTTGTTCACACTACAAATAAAATGTGACAGCAAACGCGCTCTAGTGTGAACGCTCAAAGCGGTCCGCATGCGCAAAATCAGACGTCACACACAACGCACTCTGTTTAGACCCAGACCAAACAGTATTGTTTGACTGATGGCCTTAATATAAAGACTTGTTTTGGACTTTACGTTTCCCAATTTTGCTTTAAGTTATAAAGTTATTTTGTTATTTACATATGGCCTAATAATGTTCCTTATTGCTGTTTTAGAGAGGAGCGGTGCTTCAAAGGATAGTTGCAGATTTCTGTCAGAATCTGCAGATTATACAGTACAAATAAAATGTTCATTTTTCTCCAACGCTGTCTTCCCAACAGTTTCACTAACATCTACACTGGATGGCCTGGAAGCGTTCGCAATGTCTTCTCGGGCGCTGATAATTGGCGTCTGTCTTGTGTCAGTGACGTAAAAGATGGATTTAATGCGACATGACCATTCAAACAGCAGTCGCTTTCTAAAACATCAGATATGTATCGGATTCAGTACCACATACGAAAGTGACCCAGGTCAGATTTGAAAACATCGAATTTGTGCCGTTCACACTGTCATACCATGATCGGATATGGGTCGCACAGGGTCAAAAAAGTAGTTTTTGATGCGCTTTCGCCTGCAGTGTGAACGCAGCCTTAGTTTTGTTCTGTTTGAGTTTAGCATTAAAGCTGTTCACGTTTGTCTCCACAGTCTGCACATTGGGTCCTCTATTTCACCACCCCTGCCTGCACACTAGTGATGGTGAGATGAAGCCTTGTGATGAACTGAAGCTTTCCATCCAACTGGTCGACTGTCAAGAGATACATCACTACAAACAGGACAGTGGTAACAACAGAAGGCTACGGACAATTTTAAGTTTTAGATTTTAAATAGGTTATATAAATTTCAATGGGAGCAACAGGACGGTCAAATGTCGCTGATTTTACTACAGAGCAGGACAGTTTGTAGGGTAGCAAACATGTCGTTTTCAACACTGCAGGTTACCTGGGTGTAATGTTTTTCAGCTAAAAAGAAACATGTTCTGACTCCTACCTAACTATATAAAGAGTAACTGAAGGTTAAATGCAGCTAATATGTCCCGTTTTAAGCCAGGCACTTACACCTCCGCTCCGCTGCATCTCAGCCACCATCGCTCTAGCAGCAAGGGCACTAGAGCCAGAGCAGGGGAGAGGCGAGCTGGAACAAACCATTTTGGGAGGGGGGTATCTATACGTTTGTTGTTGAAATGTTACGTTTCAACCAAGTACTGTAATCTTTTTATACTTTTAGTAGTGTGTCACACAAACAGCAAATATTGTAGTAAAAAAAAAAAAAGTAAGAAATCTTTGGGGGTGCTGTGATTCATTTTGCTGAAGCACCCCCAAAATTGGGCTAAAATGCCCCCCCCCCTCCAAAAAAGATTCAGTTATTTGGTGTTTTGGTGCTAGCTGGGGAATGCGGTAACATTCAAACCATTCGGGAAACCACATATAGGTGCAGTGACCTCTCCTATCAGGAATGTTTCATCCTAGGATAAAGACACCAACTCAGTGCAACAAGGACTGAAACCATGGGAGAGGAAAAAAACACGCATAGCCAGAGCACTCATCCTCTCAATCTACAGTCTTTTACTATGTTTGTGAATTTTTTCATCACTCTGCACAGTGCTGCTTCGAATCCAAACAAAATTATATAAAGAAAAGCATTTTATAGCACAATGGGTTTCATTTAGTAGTGGTGTGCAATACTGTAAATTCTGATATTGATTCAAAGTAAGTGCCGGACCAGTATTGCTGATACCAGTACTGATACTTTGAACCTAAAAAGGCAGCTTATGTAGAAGAGAGCACGTTTGAGGTATACTTTTTCATTTTTACCCCTCAGAAAATATTTTATTTAACACAATTCACTGAATTTGGAGAATAGTATTAATACTATGGCACTAGTATTGATCTGATACCAATACCAGCTGGTATGGATATTATTGATATTTGAATCAATTCGGCCACCTCTAGCATTTAGCATCTCAACTTCAGAGGAGAATTATAGACTTTTCTTGTGAATAAAACTCAAAGCCACCGTTTTTTCTACTCTTTGAAGGATGTTTAATGTTTACCACACATGCTGATAATCTATGCACATTATGTGTCACCATTATCCTCACAGTCATCAGAATCATATCTGCGGGGTGGATAAATGCTCTTTCAGAAACATTTTCCTACTCATGAAAAGCGTTTAATCAACTGCCCTTTTTGCAAACACTTTAGGAAAAGTGCTTTAATCAGTTAAGCAAGCACAAAAATAACATTCACCTCCAGTGACCTACAAATATAACTAAAATTTCCATCAACATCATTCATGGATCTTGAGTAACAGGCAGCGTGACCCTGCAATTTCAAGCAGTTTTCTGAATCCTTCTGATTCCAGCTCGTTTGTTCGATTCATGAGATGACGCCGTGCTTCCTGCCAGTCTGGATGAAAGCGTCAACACAGTGGTCGATGTCTTCGTCCGTGTGCGCTGCCGAAATCTGAACACGGATTCTGGCTTTTCCCTTTGGTACGACTGGGTAGGAGAATCCAATCACATACACTCCTGTAGAGGGAAGACACTGCTGTGACACTGTATAAACACAGTGGCAGATTCACATACTCTCTGCTAAGTGAGTCAGTTTCATCTACATTAAAGAAAAAAATAAAGTTAACATGGAAGTGCCAAAAAAACTGCAGTTCCTTGAGCGGCCACTTGAGGCTGTCTCCAAAAGTGAGTCAATCCCCATAGACTCCCAGAAATGAACATGTTTTTTAGCTTGGTACAAAAAACTACTTTTGGTCTCTAGTTGTAGTTTCCCCCTTCACAACAACAGTGCAGGTGGTGAATTATTTTATTACTCACAATTTTAAACTGTAATAAGGTAAATTTAAGCTTGTGGCCACCTTGACTTACTGATAAATGGCTGTACGGGAAACAGGATGTTCTAGCTTGTCCAGCAAGTCAGTGTGGTAAGTGTTGATGAGTGTAAAAGCAGTATTTAATTTCTTTCTTACTTAGCACTAATTAGCTTGTGTAGCCATAGCACTTACTCAGGTTAGAGCTCGCTAACCAGCCTTGCTAGCATAATAAACCAATAACTTAGCAGTTGTCGTTCATCAAAACACAGTCATGTCTGACTTAAAGAAAAAAAAACCCCAACATGGCAGAGGCCAGAATTTGAACATTAATTCTTTGAAAATGAATGGCTAACATTCCATCTATTATATACAGTCTATGGTCTCACCAAGTTTTAGCATATCGTCAGCCATTAAAGAGGCCAAACGTGCATCGCCAAGCATCACAGGGCAGATGGGGTGAGCTGAGCCTGCGATGGTGAAGCCGGCTTGCGTCATCTTGTTCCTGAACCTGATTTGACAGCAAAGAGAAAACTATTATACTCACAGATTAGTAAAACCAGTTGTAAGCAGTATAAACCTTATCACTAAGTGCAGGACATCCTATATATGATATTAGTATTGCCACAGATAAATCGATTGGCGTTTATGATGTACGCAACACTAAAAACATAGAAGACTTGCACTGTTCGTAAGAACAAAACATACCGCATCGTTTTGGCCGTCATGCTTTGGGCAATCTCGTTGGAGGCAAGCAGCAGTTCCACAGCCCGTGTGGCACTGCCCACCACAGGAGGGGGGAGCGCGTTGGAGAATAGGTAGGGCCGCGAGCGCTGCCTGAGTAGGTCAATGAGAGGCTTTGGGCCGACTGTGTAACCACCTGAGAGAAAACAAAACAAGTACATCACACCTTGGATAAGTCTGTTAGTACCTGCTCGGATCACTTGGAACCTCGGCTAGAAGGGGTTTCAAAAACAGTACCTGGGTAACAGGTACTATTAGCTAATGGAAAACCCTGAAAATCGAGTAGGTACTAATGGAAAAGGGACTTTACACTCGCATTTATCACAGGAAAAACTTGGAGTAAATATCAAAAGTGGAATTGTCAGGTGGGCCGATGCACTACACTAAACAAATGCTTCTTTTCCATGTCTGTGTTAAATGTACAACGTTTTACTAATTTATACTTAATAAAAAGATGTTATGAGAGCCTTCATGTTAGAATGGAGTCATACCTGCTGCTCCTCCCAGCGCTTTGCCCAGAGTGGAGTTAATAATATGAACTCTATCCATCACTCCAAGGAGTTCATCAGTTCCTCTGCAAATCAGAGGGAAGTGGTAACATTAGTTCATCACCTCTTGATAATAGAGATAGCTAAACTTTATCAAGAGCCCAGTCTCACGGTAGTTACTGTAAGATGGGGCTTTGGCGACACCTAGTGGTCATATTGAAAAAGACACTGAATAAACAACTGCCCTAAAAAGCTGTTAATAACAATCCACGCTTCTCTGCCCCCAACTTAGAAATTAAAAATGATATTTGGGCACTACACTTTTACGATTAGGGGTCTTTTGTATTTTATCTTGCAAAATAACCGATTTATGATTTTTCAGTTGAAGTCTTTTCTTACCCACCTTCCCCGAGGCCCTAGGAAACCTGTGGCGTGACATTCATCTATAAACACCATGGCTCCGTACTGCTCAGCCAGGTCACAAATCCCTCGCAAGGGAGCCACGTCTCCATCCATAGAGAAGACCCCATCTGTCACTACCAGACGCATACGAGACGACTGAGGAGGACAACAGAGAGCGCAGGTGATCGGTGTGTGTTTTTCCACTATCTTCTAACACACTGCAAGGAGAATTGGATCAAGAAGGAATGTTTTACTCCACGCACCTGAGCTTCTTTGAGTTTGGTTTCCAGGTCACCGAGGTCCATGTGTTTGTACCGCAGCCTATTCGCTCGACACAGGCGAATGCCATCGATGATTGAGGCGTGGTTTAGCTCGTCAGAGAGCACTGCGTCATCTGGGCCCAGCAGCACCTGTTGTGAGAATAATTCAGAGTTATACTGATCGTAACGGGGGAAGTCCTTCGCTTCAAGTCCATTTGGACCTACCTCAAAAAGTCCCGCATTGGCATCGAAACAGCTGGCGTAGAGGATGCAGTCCTCTCTCTCGTGGAACTCAGCGAGCTTCTGCTCTAGCTTTTTGTGGAGATCCTGTAAATCACGCATTACGCAAAATTAACCTCACGAATTAGACAGCTTTGGGGTGATATGCGTGATCTTTAAGCACCAGACCTGCGTCCCACAGATGAACCTGACAGAGCTCAGTCCAGCACCGTGTGTCTTCAGAGCATCGATTCCTGCCTGGACCACTTCTGGATGACTGGACAACCCGAGGTAGTTGTTGGCGCAGAAGTTCAGTATACCTGAGAGAATTTTGGATGCACAAAAGGAAAATTAAGGTTAAAAAAGAGAGAGTCACTGTCCCATAATAACCTCTTTGAGCAGGTCAAAGCTGGGAGTAGAAGTTCTGCTTGTAGTTTTAGGCTACAGACGAGACAAGAGAGAGAAGACAAAGAGTGACAGAGAAAACAATGCATGGGACTGTGGCACTGTCGGGCACATGAAATGAACGGGGTCGTTTTGGTGCACGAGGGGTCACGACCTAAAGTCTGTGGCCCATTCAGAAATCAGCAGAGTCGGTCTCTGGCAAGGGTTCATGCTGAAATATAAACAGTGATCGGCTGCTTTGCTGGAACAATAGCAAATAAAGCAGAGATTAACTGGTGCAGTGCAGTTAAATGCTAGAGCCTTCACAAGTCAAACAATGAACTTTGCATTGTACAAAGCACAAAACAGCTTTCTGTTGATGATATAAAGACCACTTTACAAATTATTTTGAATTATTTAAAGCTTGAATCTCATACTTTTGCTGTTACGAGTTCTTGGTTAATGTTTTTCCAAAGGCTGCGCCGAGAATAGCTTCAGAAGTGCAAAACAAGGGAGTAGCAGGGATTACTTCAAGTTCACCGCTGAGATAAGAACGTGGCAGAACTGAAACCTTACCTGGGACGGTGCGTTTAAGGACCATCACCGAGGAGGGTGCTACTGCTCACTTATAAAACTGCTGTAACTGGAAACTCCTAGTACTCACTGCCACGACTGCCGTCCACGCTGATCTCAGGACCCTGCTTGGAGGTGATGATCCTCTCCGCTTTCCACGTCCCCGCGGCTCGGATCGTCTCCAGCTCGTGTTCCAGCACCGCCCGGGCTGCAGCGGCAGCGGTGTAGCTGCGGCTCAGGCCCGAATACCGCAGAGCCCCCCGGAGCGGACTCACCAAACTGCGGGCAGCTTTTCCGAGAGACATAGCGGTGAACTCGTTATGCTGTTAAAGATATATAAACCGTGGCACAGAAAGGCTCAATGTAAAGAGCAAGCGTGGTTGCGTCACGTAACAAGGGTAGGCGTCTGTCTGGAAGACCAATCAGAGCGCAGGGCCGCTGGCAGGTGGCTTGTTTGGTCCAATCGCATCGCAGACAGTTTTTTTTAACTGGCTGATATCCACGTTGGTAGTTCACAGTCTGATGCCTAATATAAACTATAACAACATTTTACTCCTTTTAGTTTAGTTTTATTTATTTCAGTGTGTTGAAAGTGCCCTCAGTATCCAGCCTGAATACACATCAAGCTAAAACACAAACAATAAATGAACATTTTAAATTAAAATTTACTATTCCTTTGCCACCATTAAGTATTTTTTATAATCTGTGATAGTATTATATGGGTGCCCAGCTGTCACCAGCCTCACATCCAGCCCAGGTGGACACTGAAGTAGAGCGGCTTCTCCAGCAATCGATGGGTTGCTTCTTGGCTCCTGCAGTCTGGATGTCAAAGTATCCTTGTGCAAGATTTCAAGCCCTGAGTTGCCCGTGATGCGTCCATCTGAGTTTGAACATGTGTATGCATGAATGTATGTGCGAGATGCTTTGAGTACTTGGGTAGAGCAGACCAGTCCATTTACCATTTACTATCAAAATTAGAAGAGACAGCCTGTGGCAATATAGAAGGACAGGACCAGTCTTTGCAAATTTGTAAATAATGTGTTCTTATGCCTCCATTCTTTTTTTGTAATGGCAAGAAAAAGTCTATAAACATATTTTTAAAAAAGACAGACTGCAAACACACAAATGTCCAGTTAATACTTTTAGTTTAATATGACAGCAGTGTGTCATCACTTGTTGTTAAACTTCAAGTAAAACATCTTCATAGGGACAAGCTGAATGTGAAAAAAACTCATAAATTTTCTTCAGCATCCGACATCAACAACGACATAAAGCCTCAAACTATTACCACAAGTTATGGCTGAGCTTCTCTTACAAGTGTTTGCTACTTTGACAGGGGCATTTCTGTACCTCATCATCATCTTTAACAATATATATATATATATATGTATATATAACAGCAATATAGTACATCATCTATGTTGCAAAATTTGTAACAATATTCTCATTTAACAGCAGGAATGTAACCATAAAAAATGTGCAAATGTTTGCTTGTGGATCAACCCTTGTAACAACGTCAAGTAAAAACTTCGGTCTTTCCTCAGACATTAGTTTTAAGTTAAAAAACACATTTGCTCCCCCCAGCAAAAGAGCAGGGTACACATGTACAATGTCATTTGCCATTCAACTGTTCATTAATAAGAAATCTCCATTATCCAGCAGGTGGCGCAGGAGCTTCATGAGTAATGTTAGTTTTGGCAGGTTTAGGTGAGACTTTAAGACTCTGAGTTGTCTTGCGAGGAAGCTCTCAGGGACGGCAGACGCTCGGCCGCTTTCGCTCTCTCTGCCAGAAACCTGTCGAACTCTGGGGAGGCAAGCAGGAGTCACTTTATCAGACATCTATGGGAAAGTTCCTGCACTGAGTAAACAAAGCCACAACTCTGGAGTTAAACTGAGCTGTGACCAGACATGTGAGTGCTTTATGTTTCATTTTTAGTCCTTGAAGTAGTAAACATTTGGGGGTAAAAACAAAAGTCCTTCTAACCTCCTTGGTTACCTTGGTAGAGGTAACACGGAGAGCTATTTACCAAGCATTAAAGAATCTCACTGCAGTTCACCAGTGGCTCAAATATTTAGCAGCGATCTGAATGGACAATAAGTTTTGTCTATAGCTTCAGCACAAACTGTATATAAAAGGTGGATAAAGCTGCCAAAAAAAGAAAACAAAAAACAATCCTATTTTCATGCCTTAATCTGAGAATTTTAGCTGTTGCAATGAGTGTAGAGTGGATTTGACTGAAAAAACAAGGATATATTGATAGTAGTGAGCTGTCGATCAAAGCCAGCCATGATCAAATGCCGTGTTCCAGATACACTGGAATATCTAGGCATGTGTTGGAACTCACGAGCGATGTCAATCCCGAGTTAGCACATTCCAGAAAGAGCAATGAAAGACAATATTGGTTCCTAGCAAGGTAGAGACCTTCAGGTATCACTAGCTATACAGCAAAAGACCTAATTTTCTTGCCTTTCAGAAAACATTCAGTGATGGAACCTGATCAGCGCTCTGCTATGGCTCATTTAATGAGTAACAAGTACACAACATTTGCAGTACAGATCAAATATTTCGAGTTTTACTACTGTTTACATTCAGCGCTGCTATCTTGGATTTCTAACTATGGGTATGTTGGTCCACTCTGACTTGAGGGAGTGTTCCACTAAAAAAAATGCTCACTGGGAATTCATAATTTCCAACTTCCAACTTATTCAGGAAAGCAATATGAAGCATACATATCATGCCATGTTAAAACTGAATTTAAAGGAGTGACCAAGATCATAGGTTCAGACTTCTGTTTGAAAGCAGACACTGCCACCTGCTGGCCATTTGACAAAGGCAACGCTTCCATATAGACTATCTCCATTGTTTTATATACAGTCTATCAGCTCTACAAGAGAATGTGTATTTCACTGCAAATATTCCATTTAATATAACCAAAGAAAGTTTTCTGTTTAAGAGTGTGTGCCCCATGTATTAACTTGGTTATAAAATCTGCTCCTTTGGAACAGGACATATGGGTAAGGATCCTCACCTTCACTGGTCACACCATCGGAGTCCTCAAAGTCATCATACTGTGTCATAAACACAAAATAAGTATATTTGATTATCCTTTAAGATAACTGTGTACCAAATTTCACATTAAACCCACCCGCTTAGTCCTTTCTTTTTATAGTCAGTCACCTTTATGTGGATATATCTAAACATTTCTAATACCTTGGATTGGTATCTGCAATTAATTTATAAAGTCCACCAACATCTTCTTTTCTTTTTTAAACTTTTAAATTCGGTAAAGTTGATTCGATGAATGAATATCATTCCCAGTTCAGACTTACCTCATCATCCAAAGCAAGCCATTTCTCAATATCATCCATTACACTGGACTGGGTGATAGGAATCTAAGAAAGAAAGAAGAGACACAGATTGGCTACATGGATAAAACTTCATCAAGGTGTGACAAAGCTACGAAGCCATGAGAACAAAAACGAAAGTCAACCGCAAAAACAACAACAAAGAACAACCACATGTGGCTAAACATAGCATTCAGTGAGGAAGACTTTGGGTGTGACAACAACGCAGCATATCAAAAGTGCAAACCAAACAGTGTCATGCTCTTACGACGCCACAACTGGTCATGCAAACCTTTGTGCTCTATTTCAGTAACTGAACCACCAAAGCCAAAAAGTGACCCAACCCAGACCACAGCAAAGTAAATCAAAACTGTATGAAAAGAACCAAAAGACAGAGGGTACGAAAAGGTGAAACCAACGTAAAGCCAGGGCACGTTTTAAAATTCACACCCACCATTCCCCTTTTAATCATCCAATCTAACTTTGGTGAAGAGCTGCGAGTGGAAGCTGGACTGCCATCCTTCACGTACAGACAGATTTAATTCAGGAGGAAAACAGTTACTCAAACAAAGTAACACACACTCAGGCCTGTAGCTCAGATATTATGTACAGCACTTGGTACTCTGTCATATACAAAAAACCCCAGGATTTCACGTGTGCTTGCTGTTTAAAATAGATTTAACAATATCATAATTGAATTTACTTTTGGTCCTAAAGGTCATGTCACAGCTAAGTAAAAGAAAGAATCAGTTATAGTAGCCGATAAATCGAAACCTTGCAAGCAGTAAAGACATCTTTGCTTACAGGTTCGGTGTTTTGTTGTCTGCTGTCCTGAGCTTGAGCAAGACCGTCCACCACAACTCCGCTCCCGTCTCTGAAAGGCAAAAATTACTAACAGGTTAACTGCAACGTAATCTAGTAACTGATATTACTTTTAACAAAGTTAAATGTTGGCTCATGTGTTCAGGAACAAATGAAAAGAAAGAGTGGGAACTGTCACCACAAAACAATTCTATTAAATCACCGTAATTTACTCGAATAGTCACAAAAAATTAATTTAAAAACCTATTTTCATATTTATTTGTTCATATAAGGGCAAGGGTGGTTACTTCAAGTTGTAAAAAGCCAAATGGTTCAACCACTTTTAGCTAGCTATTTTAATGTTTATAACTTTTTGTCACAGTTCTGGATCATTTTGAGTTGCTTGTGTTTTGGTATTATTCTGTATTATGGTTTATGTTCTGATTCACCTGTTGTGGTGTTTTGATTATTATTATTATCCCATGTTTTGGTTTAATTCTTGTTAAGAGTTTAGTTCTTAGGTTTAGATTGGGTGCTCCCTCTGTTCGGTGTCTAGTCTGTGTCTCTGTGCCTGTTGTGTGCTTTGTGTTTTATTTTTGACAGTCTCTGTTCTGTGTCCCCATGTTTTCTCTGTCCCTGTCCTGGTCCCACATCTCCTGTCTAGTAATCCTTGCCTCTGTTACCAAGTCAGTTATGTTGTAGTGTTAAGCTCATGTCTTTGACTCCATGTCGTATTCCTGTTTTACTTTGATAGTCTCGTGTGCTTGGTCAGTGTATCTAGTTTTGCCTTCCCTTCTCTCATGTCTGATTTGTCCCAGCTGTGTTTCCTCCTGTTGCCCATCCTCCCATGATCCTACCTGTGTATCTTAGTCCTCAGTTTCCCCCTGCTTGTTGTCGTTAACCGTACACCCTCTCTGTGCTGTGTTTCTCCCTTCGTGTTCCCATAAATATTCTACTTTTCAGTCTGGTTTGTTTTTCTCGCATGTGTTTCCTAGTTTCTAGTTTCCACAGTTTAGTTCTAGTTTCCATGTTTGAGATTTTGGTTTACTTTGGTGAAGTGTATTTCTTATGTGCAGTTTTTCCCAGGAATAAAGCTGCGCCTTAAGTTTAACTTTCAGTTTCTGAGTCCTACCTTTGGGTCCTTCATCCCGCCTGCCGCACAGCACTTGCCGTGACACTTTAGTGATTTATTTAAACCTTTTGTTGATAGCTAACTATCTGAAATTGTTAACAGATTATGCATTCTTTTAAG